GACGGACGGACGGACAGACAGACATCCGGATTTCAACTCTACTCGTCACCCTGATCACTTTGGTATATATAACCCTATATCTGACTCTTTTAGTTTCCGGACTTACAAACAACCGTTTTGTGATCAAAACTATAATACTCTCTTTAGCAACTTTGTTGCGAAAGTATAAAAAGATCGAACAACAGTGCCACAATTCTTATATACTAATCTTTAGCAGAGGAGTAAATAATTTTAGTAGTAGTAGTAAATAAATTTAGTAGTTGATTCGAAGAAAGGAGCAGCGGTTGATATCAGTGCCATTTTTCTCTCATTCTATAGCAAAAAATTAACTTCCACAAAGCATGAATATTTTGACAGCACTTCCAGATTTCCATAACACTAAAATACTATTTTATTATATTTTTACATAATTACTTAAGATTTGCTTAAGTTTTTCTATGAAAAATTTCTGAGTTTCATTCTTTTCATTTCATGCACCTTCACTATGTGCACCTATGCCGTAATCATTACCGCTGAAAATACTAATTAGTTTAGCCTCATATATACTTTACGCGCACACAAACACACATGCAAGGGCAGCATTGTAATTACTTTAAAATTACACCGGGTAACCTGCGTGTGCAACTTTCATCCCTGCCGAAGCTGGCACTGCCTTCCTTTTATTTTATTGTCTATTTTATTATTTCCCTACACATTGCATTCTTCACTTTTTTGCATTTCTTCTGCTTCACAGCTACTCGTGCAACTTCCTCAAATATATGTATGTACATATGTGCTTGCAACCGCAGTTGCAGTGCATTATTTGACAGTCTTCGAGGCGTCGGTTTCGCCCGGCGGCGCATTGCCCATATGCCAATGTGCTTTTAGCAGCCGAACTACTCGCAACCTGCTATTGCATTTTTAGTGCTGCGCAGTTAGTTGCATGTCAGTTGGCGCTTAATGCCGCTTATACAGTTAAGATAAATGCCACATTTCGCCACGCTTAATGATGCCACACACCAACTACTAACCCTTCGCCGACTTGCAACAACTTTAGCGTTGCAACGTCATTGCAGCACGCAGGGCAACCTACTCTCTCTCTAGTTAAGGAAAATAGAAAAAATAGCATATGCTCGTATTCGTGTGTATGTGTGTGCTCTTGTGTGCTGCAAACACTTATGGTTAGATGGGAGAATTTGTTTCCTGCTGAATTTGTTGCATTCTTGCTCGCGTGCAAATAAGTGCACCGCATCCAACTTGGCGTTATTTGAAATTTACGCTCATTGCTGTGTTACTTATTTAGCATCAATGTTGTAATTTTAGGTATTTTTCATTTTTACGTGAGAAACTCTCGTAAATAACGGTGTTAATTTGGAGAAGTTTGTCAGTGAAATGTTGGTGGAAAAGGAATTCCAAGCAATTTATTTGGTCGCATTAGTGTTAAGGTGTGCGTATTGTGGTATTTGTTCCAATTGTTCAAAAATGCACAGAAAGTACCATTTCTTTTACAAAATTCCCAGGTTAGTTGTCGAAGTAAGATCCATCTTTCAGAAAATATTCGACACAATTTGCACCAGTCAAAGTCAAATTTCGTTATTCATCTTCCCAACTACTTTGAATAATATTTATCGGTAATTCCTTTAAAACCGCTAGAACTTTACCATTTTCAAGTAAGGATTAGCTCTGCACATCCGTTTTGTTGTTCTTTAGACGGATAATTGCTATTCGAACTTTTTCATAGTCGGGCAAAGAAACGTCTGCTCCACCGTCATCGAGTGAGGAATCGGGTTCACCATCTCTAAGTGTTATGCTTTCACTGCCATTCAGTAGGTTGGTAAAGTATTCCCTCTTCAATTTTAGTACGCTCTGCGCATCGGTCGCTAGATCACCTCTGGGGGGTTCTACAAGTATGCTCTGGTCTTGAAACCTACTGTCAGTCACAGCTTCTTTTTGTAGAATTTTAGAGTATTACCCTGTCGGCCTGCTTGTCAAGCTCTTCGTACTCACGTTTTTCATGTGTCTCGCTTTCCTTTTAAGATATCGGTATATACCACATACCCCACCTGTTATAACATTGGGAAGTAGGCAGTCTGTTTTGTCTACACTGCGGCACAAAACTCCTGATCCTACTAGCTGTTCCTTTTGCATTTTCCGAAAACCAATGGTTTCGGTTACGACTGTACGTAAGGAGCTTGAAATGCCGTCCCACTGTTCCCTTATACCGAATTATTGACGAGTGCTCTCGGACAGCAGGAAGTCGAGTAGAAAATCGTTCAACTACGTCAAAGCTTCCTTTTGTTCCTTGCTTTTTTTTTGCCAGTGGCGGGTGCGTATCTATGCTGCAAAAAGATATCGGTCCAAGTCAATGTTAGGACCTCGGAGCTTCCACACATCTAAATCACTAGAGACGTATCTTCCCTCACTCTCCTCTCTTTCACAACATTATAGATTTGGCTGGTGGTTTTTCATCCGCAGACAGTCAGATAGCTTGACGAACTTTCCTCTGTTGAAATCTAGTACTGGAGATAACCGTATTTCGGACCCTGGCGAAGTCGATCAGCTTCAACCATTTTGAGGATGTTTCATCATGGAAGCTAAATTTACCGACAGTTGTGCCAAAGATACCTTCCTTGCTCACCCCGGTGTTAAAGTTGCTAAAAGGGTTTTAACATCGTGGCGGTTGTAGCTCTCATAGATGCGCTCCAAGCGCTTATAGAAGACATCTTTGGTCTCATCGTCTTTCGCTTCCATCGGGACGTGGGCGCAACACAGCTATATGTTGAGGGACTTCGCTATGATTCCGACTATTGGCTAGATGTTCAACCACTGGGGTTGAACCCCCGACTACGGAGTCTCTCTCTCACAACGAATTTGCGCTCCTTTATATGGCCACTGTAGTAAATACCAGAAGGACCTACTCGCCTCTGTCCTTGCCCCGTCCATCACATTTGTTGGACAGCGGTGATGTCAGCCTTCACTCTAACGAGTACATCAACCGGCTGTTGTGCTCAATTAAGGGACCGGACATTCCTGGTGCATGCCCTTAAACTGTAATCCTTAATTCGTTTGCCATGGTCGCCATCAAAAGGGTTAGAGGGGGGGCTGATTGAACCAAAAGGATACAAATACTATCTAAGGTTTATTGAAAATGGGCAGAAAATCATGAATGGCTTCCATGCCTTTGTAAAATCATCGATAGAAGAAAACTTAACTTGCCTCTCAATAAAACAGCAACAATAGCAGAAATAAATGTACCGTTAATGTAGGAAATAATCGTTTTGATACTAAAAACTTTGCTTTAAGTAGTATATTTAACAAATCTCGTGCGGCAAGTTAACGGCTCCATAAAGTTTTATTTATTATGTGAAGCTAAGTTAAGTTCGGTTGAGTTAAGTAGTATTTTCATGATTTGTGGAGATTTAAAGAAACTTTTCGGCACACACATGGCACACATGCGTTAACCGACAATGCCAGATTTGCGCAACTGCACATACATGCACAAACCATGTATCTGGAATATATATATATAACCAATATATAACGGTAAAAATATACACACATATATATAGAGGCATATATCTGCACTTTGGGCAACCGCTTGCTTTCAACTCCAAAGTCCATTTGGCACCACCCGCACTTTACACACACGCACACAAACGCAAGTACATATATACATATATGTCCGTTTATGTGCATGCATGTGGTTGGTATACATATATATTTATCTCTTCATTATGCTCATTTATTTGTGTACATTTTCCCTTTGCAGATGGCACCGGTAAAGATTTATATTCACCTGAGGCCGAAAGCTCACCGGCACCATCATCCGTTGAACCGACACCAGCACAAATGGTCGCTGCCGCCACCAAGCCGACCTCACGTACAAGCAGTTTCGAAATTGAGAATCTTCTCAAGACCGCAGAGCAGGTACGTGTAAGGCTAACGATCTCTCATACACACACACACACACGCACATACAATCATACTCATAAAAACACCAAACCAAACACACTCATATCTATCATATACATTTGTATATATGTATGTATGTGCATAAACATGTGACCAACTGCAAGCGCCGAGCGCCCACACACCGAGTCTGTGAAGTATAAAGTTGTTGCCGATTGCCAGCAGAATGAACTTTCAACTGCGTTTATAGCGGTTGTTGCTATTATTGTGGTTGCTGGCGTTGTTGTTGTTTACGTTGTTGACGTTGTTGTAGACGCACATGTGCCGGCAAATTGCACGTAAAACTTGAGAGTTTAAAAACGAGAAATAAAATCGAGTAAAAAATAATAAAATTAATCTGCAAGTTGCTCCATAACTTAGCATTTGCGGGCATTCTAGCATATGTGTGTGTGTGCGCGCTGCTTGCCATTGCGTTAATGTGTTTATATGTAGCATATGTGCATATGTATGTCTCCTTGTATATACTCATGGGTTCACACGTTCATTTGGTGGGTATGTGCTTAGTATGTGCGAAATTGTCTTTAAGTATTCCAAAACTGGTTGAGAATTGCATAAACATTTAAATTATCTTTTATTTTGTTTTTGCATTCTTCTATATTGTTTAAGTTTGCAAAGCTTTCTCTGAATGTTCACGAGCACTTGCGTATATAGTATGTTGACTCTTCACGCTTTATCATATTTTTATTAATTAATGATATTTTTATAAATTTCTTGGTAAAAATATTTATGTGAGCTTCTTTAATATATTATAGTAAAAACTTATATGGTACCTAGATAAATACGTTAAATTATTTTTACTATAAGCAATGCATATTCAATACTTATATTTAGAAAATTTTGCACTTTAAATCACATTCCAGTAATATTTTTGGTGCTGCCACAAGTTCTGTTACAAGCTCAGTGTTATTCGATAAGAATACCTTTTGCTTTCACACAAGCCTTGGAACGATATGGCCATAGAACAATAGCAGCACACACAGTTTATTCGAAACATAGATTTTTTGAGACTCACCGAATTCCTATGCTATTTTCTCCAACTCTAGTGACAAACTGTAGTCCAATGCTTTGAAGTCTTAACTTCTAGACGGCGACTATAAAACCAGGCATATCGCTTTTAAGCCACTACTGGTTGGTTTTTCAACTTTTGTGCTGCAACAGAATCTTGCTGGAAAAAAATGCTCTCCGTCGAAAAAAGTATTGCTTAACTGCTTTAGCAATTTTTATTATTTTACCTTTTATATTTTTGTATTAATTTTACCTTTGAAAAAGCTATCAAGAGTGCATGCGAAGATCTGCACTTTGGGCAACCACTTGCTTTCAACTCCAAAGTGCATTTGCCTCGAAATATTACGTTTTGGAAATATTCCGCTTTTCGACAAGCTCATAAATTTCATTTGAGCATTTTCCACAATTATGTTAAGCAAACATCGCTGTATGTTTTTTAGCTCCCACTCCAATGTTCATATTCGAAAGCAAACTCTGAACGGATTAGATACATGTGTCGACACAGCATTCAAGTTATAATAAATAAAAAATAATGGCACTTTTTTCTGCGAATTTGCCCTTGCTGTATGCCTTGTAAACTTTGTAACAGAACTTATGGCAAATCTAAGTATGTACCCTACTGTTAACTCCATCTCTCCCTATACACACCTCACAAATTATCTCCCTAAACCTAGTTATTGTTTAAGTTTCAAATCAGTAAAATGTAAATGAAAAGTGTTGTCTACATTTAGGCTGAATAAAAAGCAAGAAAAAAATATCATGATTATGAGATATATATAGGAACTAATTTATGATCACTTGATGGTTTTAGTAAATCTTTGAGAATAAGTTCTAATGTCAAGAAAATGCTTAAAGCAATGGAAACTCAAGTCTTTAAACACGACCAACAAAGGGCATTCCATAAAGTTACTTTTGATTAATATAAATAACCGACATTTACTGCTTCTTTTCCGCAAAGAGCCTAACACTTTCCGCTACTAAATCTCTTGCGACTATATTTACGACTTGACGATGGTAAACATCTTCTTCCTCTTTACCGATACTGAATCGCAAACCTTCACAGCTGGAGCATTCTCTTCCATCCTGACAAGATGATCTAGCTAGCGCAGCCGCCTTCTCTTGATTCGCAGAATGTACAATTTGTTCGATTTTACTTTTCAATTTCCTAGAGTTTCTTTTCGTGCAGTCGAAGGCGGCTTTAAAATCGACGAACAGATGTACTCTATCACTTTGCATACGACCGCGAACATAGAACAGAGCCGTAATAAAGGCGCTAGCGGGCAGCACCTAGAGAAAATACGAACAAATGTTTTGGCTACACACAAGTCAAACGGCCAACCGGTGTTCACTACAACATACCGGTCCTCTGAACACAGTAGAAAGCAGAAGAGAAGTTTTAGATTTATCAGCGCAACGAATTCCTATCCAACCAGTTTCTGAGATGCTTTTGCAGACACTATCCTTTCACTTTTAGAGCAAAGCCCAGGAACAACTAGAAAACATTCCTTGATTAAGTCGACGATGGTGTGTAATACGCCATCTGCAGTTAGTTGAATCCGTTGACAATTAACCTTGCAACCCAGACAGGGTCAGGTTATATAATAATAGAGAATTCTGTCATATCATATGGCCCTCACAGAGTACTTACCTCTGATATCTCACATGAGCAAGTACGCTTAGCAGAATCTGCAACCAATGAATGATGAAACGTACTTTCGATTCACAATTTTATTACACTTAACCTTAAATTGTCAGCTGATGACAGTCTGGCTAAAAAAAACGCGAACAATTTGAATGAGAATTGAGTACAGAAGATATAATATAATTATAATTAATCTTAATCAGTTCAAAGCGACTAGTTTTCCTAAGATAACGCTAGGAGTTGGAGAAGAGTGGCAGTGGCTTCTTTATGGATGGGCCAAAGCTGTCAACTCCAGCTTCAGACTTTTTGACTATGGCAGTGTCTTCCAACCTGAGGTTGCAGCCATTAAGGTAGCAATAGATTTACTCAACCGGGGGGCAGCCTCCTTTGGAGAAGTGACCATTCACTCAGATACCAGAGTGGCGATGTCAGTCTTGAACTCATTAATAGTGCGTTCAGGGTTGCCATCTAACCTAACCTAACTTAACGCTAGGAGTTAAAAACTTCCACCCTTAAGATTAGACTGAAACTAACACTATTTACATAGCCACCACAGGCCGTCCCTTTCTAACTAAATTATTTATGACATCTCAAGTTAGTTAGCCAAGGCAACGAAAAAATACTAGATATGAACAACACCTTGAAAATAACTAAAAATAACTATTTTTCTTTTATTATGAATGCATGAAATTAAAAATTGAGTTCACCTTTGTTGCCACCATGCCATTCATGCCGCCTCCTTAGCCAACTAATGACAATACACTTTAACATTTTACGATGCAGTTCACACAATTAAGCACACTTACGTTTACACAGTGGGAATAGAACAGAAAGACTTAAGTGCAAAGGCCACAGCAGCTAAGATATCCTTCGCTGCGCACACGAAAGGACATTTGTATTTTTAATACTCTAGCGCAACAAAATGCTACTCTTACTTCAAGCAGCCGTTCGTCAAACAGCACCAGCGTCTTAAAAAATAAAGCAAATAAAGAAATGCGCTTCTTCTCAATAGCTGCTAAGAATATATGGACCCAAAAAAAGTCGCCTATCCATTCAAAGCCATAATGAAATAATAACAAGAATAGGATTGCCAAGCAGCCACGCAGCCACGTTGCTGCAGCCATTTCCACAGGCCAGTAAGCGGGTGAAATAAATTTGCAAAAGTGCCACTAAATTTGCCACAACGTCAACGAAATGTCAAAAGGCTATACAAACAGACCGGTGCACGCGCTCACCAAAACGCACACACCAGCTTACCACCACAGAAAGAGAGAGAGAGAGACAAAGAGATGGCAAGGCGTACGGCGTCAGCGGCTACGCAAAGCGAGTTAAGCTTTACCAATTTTATTTTTTGTATGTGTTCCACTCACAAGGACTTCGACTGCGTATTGTAGGTATCTCAAGGACCTTTTGCCGCACGTAACCACACTATCGCACAATTTAAATTTGGCTCACTTACTCGCTATTCACTCACTCACTCGCTCACTTATAGTGTGCTCGAGCATCAATCCTTTAAAATAGAATCAAGGATAAAAGTGTACAACATAAGCTATGCAGCTTGACTGCCAACAACAATGTTACTGTGAGATATTTCAAAATATAAAATACAAAAACAACGCAAAGAGAAACAACAGAAAAAACTGTGAAAAACGCATGAAAGGCGAACAAATGAATCTGCTCGTAAGTAGCGTGGCAGGAGCGTAGAGGTGAGCGGCTAAGCGGCTGAGCTGAATGGCAACAAAGAAAGCCACCAAATGCTCTTTGTTACGCTGAATGGTAAAATGAAACCTTCCTGAAAGTGCTTTTATCATCGGTGGTCTAGGTGTGCATACACGGTGCAGGAATTTTTACGAGTTGGCGGTGAAAATAAGAATTGAGATGAGTTTTCTTCAACAACTTTGCGCTTTGAGCGATCTCGGGAGACTACACTCTGGGAGCGCTGGAAGAGAAATGCTTTGATTTCATATACATATTTTCGATCCTTCGAATCAAATTTTTTCATAAAAGTAAGCCATAATTTGATGCCTTTCAGTCAGAACATAACCTCAAAACCTTATTTTTGACTTCTGCCTCAGAGCTTTCCGTCTTTCATAAGATCTAAGGTGGTCAACTATATGTGCTCGGGTTCTGAAGCGAAAATCCGAAGACCACTTCCCTAGACAACTTTTTCTGTAAATAGATCCCATAATTTTAGGTATTCGTTAGAATCTATTAGAGATGTCTCCTCCGTGATAACAAAAAGAAGTCCGTTTTGGTATAAGATCAGGCCGGCAGGTCAAGTCACATCTTTGCTTTCAAATATCTCAAATAA